GCAGTGGCACAATCTCAGCTCACTGCAACCTCCACTTCCCAGGTTCAAGTGATTCTTGTGCCTTAGCCACACGAGTAGCTGGGATTACAGGCGCCTGCCACCGTGCCTGGCTAATTTTCGTATTTTTAGTAGAGATGGGGTTTTGCCATGTTGGCCAAGCTGGTCTCCAACTCCTGGCCTCAAGTGATCTGCCCACCTCCGCCTCCCAAAATGTTGGGATTACAGGCGTGAGCCACCGCGCCCGGCCCACAGATAGGCCTTTTTATAAAGCGTTCCAAGAACAGTGCCCCTGATTTTGAACCTAGCTCAACACCTGCCTCTCTTAAGGTTAACGAGCTTTTCTGTTTCTTTCTCCTCCATCCTCGCTTTATTACTATGTACACGTGGCAGCTTCCTGGTCCCTCACGGCAATGGTGTCTAAGAGCAAGGACTCTGATGTGAGAGCGACGCTCTCCTGTCCGGGCTCCAGCATTTTCTAGTTAAGTTATTGTAGACAACTTAATATCTGAAAACATCAGTTTTCTCACCTCTAAAATGGACCTAATCATAACACCTAAATTATGAAGTATTGTGTGCAACAAACAAGACAAAATGCACGCAAAATATTTAGCACAACTGATGGCACATTGTCAGCTCTAAAGGAATGTGAACTGACATCACAGTTTTCTGCTTCTTAGTTATCTCTTCCTCCTACTCTTGCATCGATCTTTCTCTTTGGATGTGCAAGTCCCAGGAGTAAGGGTTCTTCTTTCCTTGTCTCTGGGGTAAGAGTTAAGGGAATGATGGAATGAAAGGAGGCAAATACTGTGTCCACCCTTCCCACCTGCCATCATCCAGGTTAGCTTCAGGGATCCGGATACAGGCATAAGTAATCCACTATCAGCCGGGACTTTCCCATGTGGTCCCCAAATATCCAGCCCGGTGCTGGGGCTACCGGTTTCCACATTGCACCACGGCCCCTCTCTGTGGGTGGACACTGTGGGTCACAAAATGAGTGACTTGCTTCAGATTCCGGCGACCCCCTGACAGGCAGCCCAAGCCCTACATTAGCTTCAGGCTCCCTGAAAGCCCAGCCCAGGAAGTCTCGGCTTTCTTTTTGTTTGGTTTCCCTACCAGCGCCAGCTCCTAGGAAGGACACGTCTGCCACCTGCTGGCTGTAGGTAGCATGGCACCCGGCTGTCCCTCAGGCTCCAGCTGGAGCCAGGATGTGCAACGCCGGCCCAGGTGCAGATCCTGGAGGGGCCCTTCCATGCTGGACCTTGAGGAAGGATGTCCCTCAAAGTCTTCTGCCCACTTCTTAGGGCATGGCCCATCCTATGCAATTCAAAGAGAAGAATTTGTAGGGAATCTCCTCAGGACTGGGTGGAGACAGGTCTAGACAGACGGGCCCTGCCCTGAGAAAGGCACAGCAGGGAGAAAGGACCAGGACTAAGGCCCAGATGACTGGAGGTGATGAGGATGAGATTGAAGGAGGGGTAACCTTTGTCCTTGAGGTCTTAGTGTATTAGTCCATTCTCATGCTTCTAATAAAGACATACCCGAGACTGGGTAATTTATAAAGAAAAAGAGGTTTAATAGACTCGCAGTTCCACATGGCTGGGGAGGCCTCACAGTCATGGCAGAAGGTAAAAGACACGTCTTACATGGTGGCAGGCAAGACAGTGTGTGCAGGGGAACTGCCCTGTATAAAACCATCAGATCTCATAAGACTTAATTACTATCATGAGAACAGCATGGGAAAAACATGCCCCCATGATTCAATTACCTCCCACATGGTCCCTCCCATGACACATGGGGATTATGGGAGCTATGGTTCAAGATAAGATTTGGGTGGAGACACAGCCAAACCATATTAGGGTCCCCTCATGGCACCTCTCTGGCACTCACCCCCCAGAGACACCCATCTCTGCCAATCCTTGTTCAAGCACCCTAGGTCCAGGAGCACCCCTAAGGCCTGAGCTGCCCTTCCTCTGCCAGGCCTCCCCAGTACCAACCCCCACCCTCAGCCCCAAAACAGAACACCTGTCCCATCTCACTGCCTGCAGAAACAGGGTGTGGGGGAGGTGGTTAGCCAGGAAGTCATTGGACAGAGGCACAGTCCCAGATAACAAATGGCCTCTCTTCCTTTTTTTGCATTCCTTTCCCCTCACCAACATGTTATTTTGTAATTTTTCAAACCTACAGGAAAGTGGGAAGAATCATGCAATGAATATTCTTCATCCAGATAGATGCCACAATTGTTAAAATGTCATTATAGTTGCTGTGTCTCTCATTCTCCTGTGTGTGTGTATAGTTGTTTTCTTTGTTTGTTTGCTGAATCATTTGCAAGTAAATTGCAGATATCACTCTAAATACTTCACCAAGCGTCTCTCTTTTTTTTTTTTTTTTTTTTTAGACAGAGTCTCTCTCTGTCACCCAGGCTGGAGTGCAGTGGCACAATCTCAGCTCACTGCAAGCTCCGCCTCCCAGGTTCACGCCATTCTCCTGCCTCAGCTTCCGAAGTAGCTGGGACTACAGGCTCCCGCCACCACGCCCGGCTAATTTTTTGTATTTTTAGTGGAGACAGGGTTTTACTGTTAGCCAGGATGGTCTTGATCTCCTGACCTCATGATCTGCCCACCTCAGCCTCCCAATGTGCTGGGATTACAGGCATGAGCCACCACACCTGGCCACCGTCTCTTAAGAATAAGTACATTTTCCTACAGAACTGCAATGCCATTGTTTACTCTCAAGAAAGTCAACATTGACACAATAGTACTGTCTAATATGTCTATATTAAAATTTCCCATTTGTTTCAGTGTCTTAGTCCATTTTGTGTTGCTACGAAGGAATACCTGAGCCTGGGTGACGTATTTTTTTAAAAAAGAGGTTTATTTGGCTTGGATTTCTGAGGGCTGGAAAGTCCAGGATTGGGCAGCTGCTTTTGGAAAGGGCCTCAAGCTGCCTCCACTCATGGCAGAAGGGAAAGGGGAGCCAGTGTGCAGAGATCACATGGCAAGAGGGGAAGCAAGAGGGAGAGGTGGAGGTGCCAGGCTCTTTTTAACAACCAGCTCGCCTAGGAACTAATAGAGTGAAATCTTGCTTACCCTGAGGGAGAACACTAATCCATTCGTAATGGATTCACCCCTATGACCCAACATTGAGGCCCCACCTCCAACACTGGGGATCAAATTTCAGCATGAGGTTTGGAGAGGACAAATATCCAAGTCAGCACAAACCACAGCACTCAATGTCCTTTTTGCCATTGTTTTTAAATCCGGGATCCAATTAAGAGTCACACACTGCATTTCGTTGCCATGTCCTTTACTAAAAATACAGTCTTCCCATCTTTTTTTGTCTTTTATGGTGTTGGCATTTTGCTGGAGGCTAGGCTAGGTGTTTTGTAGAATGTCCTGCAATTTGAACCTCACAATTTGAATCTGTCATGTTCCTCATGAATAAATTCAGGGTAAGCATTTTTGCCAAGAATACTATCTGTTGATATTGAACATCCTCAGTACATCGTATTCGGATGCATTATTCTTTTTATTTTTCTTTCCTAATTTATCATCCACCTACTTCCCAAAATCATGTAACGAAGACTACAGTAAAACAGAAAATTAGAAATTCTGCAGAGGGTAGAAGCAGCGAATATACCAAACTGCCTAGCTTGATGTATCTCATTGATCTCAGCTTTCTGGCAGCCAAGACCCAAAGGGAAAGCTGTCTGGTGGTAGAACTCTCATTTCTTTAAATCAGGGTTCAGCAAACTTTGTGAAATGTCAGATAATAAATATTTGGGGTCGTACTTTCTCTCTACAAAAGCAGCCATAAACAAACAGGCATGGTTGTTTTCCAGTAAAACTTTATTTACAAAAACACAACTGCTAGACTTGGTCCAAGAGCCCTTTTTTGCTGACCCCTGATGAAAGTGGAAGAGCGTCCTCCAGGTATTAAATGAGTAAAACTTTCTTTTCCGGGTTGAGTACTGCATATTAAAGGAGCTCTTTATATCATTACTTATTTATTCAGCAGATCTTTTTGAGGAATGCCACGTGCCAAGCTCTATGCTAGGTATGGGGTAATACATCAATGACAAAACAGATAAAATCCCTGCCTTTCTGGAGGACAGAGTCTGATGTGAGAGACAGGTGACGTGAAAATAAATAAATGTAAAGCTATGCACTGCAGTAAGGATCATGGAGGGAATGAACAAGTACAGTGACAAAACAATGGGGACAGGGAAATGTCATATTGATGGGATATTTCAGGCAAGATGACGTTTAAACTGAGACCTAGCCAAGGTCATGGAGGAGGGCTTCCAGGCAGCAACAATTGCCAAGGCCCTGAGGTGGGAGGAGTTTAGCTTGTGCCATTTTGAAGCCAGGTGTGGCTGAAGCTTAGTAAGGGGCAATGGGAGGGAGGGGTATGGGAGGAGGTTTGTAGATCATGGCAGGTGTTTGCATTCTATTCTAAGAAAAATGGGAAGCCACTGGAGAGTTTTAAGCATCTGTTCATCCCCAAATCCCCAGGAACTGTCACCTGAAGAAATCACCTAGATTTCAGCACGAATTCCAAATCCTACCACAGCTACGTGACCTCCAAGTCCAAAGTTTCTCATCTGTAAACAAGGCTGGTGCAAGCCTCTTCATAGCGCTGTTATAAGGATGAAATGCAGCAATGCGTATCAGGCAGGGAGTAGATGAAACTCACTGCAACTGACGAGCACGCCAGTACCTGGGCAGCCGTGTTCCAAAGCAAGGACAGGGGCAGACAAGGGACACGACCCCCTGCTGTGGAGAAGGACAATGCTTCAGTGCTCAGCGTGCATAGGTGGTGGGGGGGGCGTGTATCTTCAAACAGACCCCGTCCCCCTCCCTTCAACCTCCATCCCAGCCACAACCATCAGAAAGCACACAGTGCACCTGCACCCCGTACGGTCTCCCCTGGCTGACACCTGAGGATCACGCCCGGCCGAGCCCCATCTCAACGCTGATCTGCTGTGTTGTTTTGTTTTTCAGTTCTCCCTGATGTCTTTATTGGAAAGCCTGGACCCAGGTGAGTGCGCTGATCTCCTGGGGGCTTCCCACCAATCCCAGGCTGGTTCTGGGCTGGAGAAAAAGAGGCCTAAGTATGGAAGTGTTGGAGGGACCCCAGGGTTCAACTGGTTCCAGGGTGTCACAGGCACCTTTGAGAACTTGCCCTCAAAATGTGTGCACCCATAATGCTTCACACAATTTTGAGTTTCCTGTGGACACCACTGAGCCCCGGCTCAGGGTCCCAAGGGAAATACTGCCTACGTAGTTAAAACCCTTGATTTTATAAAGAAACTGAGGCCCAGAGAGGGGACGCAACTTACTCCTGGCCACACAGCGAATTGGAGGCTAAAATGAGGTGAAAGGCCAAGGCAAAGCAAGGGTGAGATGGAACAATGCCTGGCTCCAGGCAGGCCAGCCCTGTGCCACACCCATCCGCTCCACCTCTTTCTGTGGAAGGGCAGCCTCCAGGCTGACCTGGCCTGGTGATACCCTCTCACCAGCACCTCTGCCATTGTCCTCTCTGCCCAAATGGTTTGCTTCCTCAGGCTGAACGCGTCTACCACCCGGCGGGTCCTGTATCTTCACACAGGCTCTCTGTCTCACACACTCGCTCTCCTATCGTCTCCCTTTCCTGTGTCCTCAGCCTTGTGCCCACAGCGTGCACAGGCTAGGCAGGGCCACCCCTTCCACATCATCCACTCCTGGTCCTTTGGCTCTGGGTTCGAGTATCCCTTTGCAGCGCTGAGCCCCGGGGGAGAAAATTCTGCTCACCACTCCATCTGGCCAGAGGCCAACATCCCCACTGGTAGAGATACAGGCTGGTCACCCATGGAGCGCCGTAGCCAGGCAGACAACACACAGAGGCTGTGGCCACAGCTGAACCTTGAATCAAGGATTTATTTGGCACAAAGATAGCAGTAACTGGGCCAAATTCAGTTTGACAGTCAATATGCTCCAGCAGCAAACCCCTGGATGGGCAGAAAGATAAGGCCAGGTCTTCGTTCTATCCCAGGTGCTCAGCGGATATTTGTGGAGTTGAGGAGAAATGTATATGGTTATGGCGTGTGGGGTTTTGAGAAAATCTGTGTCTTTCCCCAACACAAAGGCTATTCAATGACACATAGTTCAGTTCCTCCGAAGGCACGTATTTCAGAGAGTTATCCCCTAGCTGACGGCCACACCACCACCCACGCAAGGAGTCCAGGGAGGAGCTGAGACCAAGGGGCTGGAAGGGTGGTCTCTTCCCCAGCCTTGAGCACAAACTGCCCAGGCACCACTGAAGGGGATCCTTGGGTCTGATTTTCAGGGATACTGGGCTATAGAAGCTATGGGGTGACACAGTGGAAGAAAAAGAAGTGCAGAAGACCCAAAGGCCCTTGACTTTACTGCCAGCTGCCAGAAAGTTGTAAGAGACATCTTCAGTGAGTTCATGACACCCTGGAATTGTGCAGTGAACAACTCGAACAACTGTAAGCAGTGGCCCTACTGAACAGAGACCATGGAAAGGGAGTGGAGTTAGCCTATGTGCCCATAGATTTATAGCTTTAATCAAACAGACTGGGAGCTACAGGGTCAGATTTGATCTGCCAACAGGAAGAACTTTCTCGCCGTCAGAGTTGTCCAGAAATCTGAATGGACCATTGGTTTCTCAGGAGGTAATGAGTTTCCCATCATTGGAGACTTTTAAAGCACAGGCTGAAAAACCACTTATAGGGAGTGAAGAGTATTGAATTTAGCTCTCAAGAGACTGGGCCCTACAAGAACTCTGCCATCAGCTTCAGACAGTTTGGTGTATGAACGAACGGACCCCGAAGCAGACTGCTCCTGGGATCCAGAGTCCATCTCGAGGTGTCATAGCCTCTGAGGAATGGGCTGAGATGTAGACGTTGGGCCTTTTTGCAAAGAGGAGATTCAGTTTAAAAACATCCCTGTTCAGTATCTGACTTAACCTTTCAAAGGGGTTGTGCTTTGATGGTATTTGTCAGCTCCCTGCTGCCTCTAGACAATAGTGTGGCGAAGGAGACCCCATGCTCGTGCCCACGGACAAGCTGCTTCTTTGGTTGGTCTCGCTGGAGACAGCGCACGGTGAGGGCCTTGCTGGAGCAGAAGGTGCCCAGTCCACAGTCCCCAATGGGTGGTGGAGGAGGTAGCCAGCAAACAGCACAACTGCCCATCTCCCCAAAGCAGGTGCCACGACAGCCAGCAGGCCTGTGAAAATGCCTCTTCAAAGCTGGCTTGGCTCTGCCCAGCAATGCAGGCTGAGCCCATCCATCAGCTGTCCTACTGCCTGCCAGCGAGAGTCTCTGCTGGGCCTGCCCCGCCAGCCAGATTGGAAGCGTCAAATGCAGGCCGACAGGGCTGGGGTTTGGAGGAGGCCCTCAGAGGAGCCGTCTGTGCCACAGTGATGGATGACGCCAACAGGGGCGACATTCCGGGGAGTTTGATTCCGTTCCACACATCTGGCAAGCTCCTTAACCAGAGCAGCTGCAAAGCCCCCATCGCAGGAACTCTGACCATTTTCTGAGAGACCCCGAACGTGGACAGAGTTAATCCTGGTCAAGGGACCCAGAACATGAGCTTAAGAAGGTTTCCCAATGCATGTTACTTCCTGAAAGCTAAAACCCATGGAGTTTCATGAAACCCAAACCTATAGGAGGTTCCAGGATCGTAAAAAGGCAAATAAGACTTGGAGTTAGGTAGACCTGGGTTATGATGTCATCTCCTTGGGCCTTCATTTTTCCTTATCTGCAAAATAGGACCTATGCCATAGGGTTGCTTTAGGGTGAAGTAAGATTGTGGGCAACCGCATTTATTTAGTTTGGTGTCTGATACTTAGAAAATACTCAGTACATTATAACCTATTATTAGGATAATTTGGCTTAACTCAGGATACTCTCATGATCCTTCATGATAATTTCTAGAAACAGACTCTGAAAACTAGACAAACCCACAAGAATTTCTTTTTATTCTTGATAGAAAATGCTCGAACACCTGCCCCTTTCTTTCCCAAAGCTCTTCCCTTTTCTGTAGCCTAGAGAAACTTACAAATAATCTATGTTTAAACCTGAACTGTTTTTCTACAATCTACCAGTGGCACCAAAATGTATGTCAGGCTGCTGTGCCTCTCTCCCCAGGAAAATATGTGGACGAGTTTCTAGATTTCTACAGAGTTCATCAGGTATTTTCTTTGCCAAGTACATTTGACCCATTTCTCACACAGTTTCTTACTGAAATTCCCTATTTGCTCTGCTTTAAGCAGGCACCATCTTTGTGGCCAGTAAAGCTGCATGCAGGCCAATCAGAAGGCAGAAAGGCTTGACCACTAAGGGAAAAATAAATCTGTCAATCACATACATTAACTACAGGTAGGGCTTTGTGCTGGGCACTCTGGGGCTAAAAGAGGAATGGAAATGGCCCTTCCTCTTAAGAAACTCTCTAGTTGGAGGAAACAAATAAGATAGACCAAATACCCAAGATAGAGGTGCCATCTGAGATCCAGCTATGACACTTAAAACTCTCCAGCCAACTGGGCCACAGAGGAATGCTCTTGTATCTAAAATTCTCAGCCCATTAGCAATCTAATGTCAATCAAGTCCTGTGTGTCAGTTTGTTATTATTGCATAATACACTACCCCAGACTTAGTAGCTTAAACCACTGACCATGTATTTAGGTCACAATTCTTTGGGTTGACAATCTTGGCTGGGTTCAGCTGGGCAGTTCTTCTGGGCTGCGTCAGGCTCAGTTGATCCTGACTGGGCTTGCTCATGTGTCTGCAGAAGCTGGCAGATTGGCTGGCATCTTATCTTGCTGAATATTGACTGGGCTTTCTTATGTGTCTGAGGCCTCAGCTAGGACCACTAGGCCAGCTGTTGTCCACGTGTTCTCACACGCTCTTGCAGAATAGGCCGAACTGTTCACATGGCAGTCACATGGGTCCAGGATCCGGAGAGAGAGAGAGAGAGTCAAGAGAGAGCAAGACTTCTTGGGGCCCAGGCTCTGAGCTGGCACACCATCCTTCCGTCACACATGCTATTGGCCAAAGCATGTCCTAAGGCCAACCCAGAACCAAGGGCAGGGAAACTGACTCAATCTCTTGGTGGGAGAAACTGAAAAGTCACATTGCAAAGGGTATGGGTACAGGGAGGGGTGGATAATCAAGGGCTATTTTTGTCGTCAGATTGGCTCATACCAAGGCAGAGTTTCACTGTGGAACTTGAGGGCACCAGGCCTAGACTTGGTCACTTCTAGCTCCCTCACCTCTTCACTGCTCTTTAATCTCCTTCCTTAGCTGGCTTTCATCCCCTACCCAACCTTGACTGGAGGCTTCCTTGAGGACAAGGCCACATCCTACTCTTATTTGTATAACTCTCCACCATTCCCAATGCCATCCTGCACCTGGCATAACACTTGGTCCATTGTAGGTTCACAAGACAAGTTACTTATGCAGACAAAAGGATTAAGTGCCAACATAATGGGAAAGACAAAATAAGGTTTAAGCCTGGAAGTGGAGAAACCCTCCCAGATGATGCTCTGATAAAGCACCTTCAAATCACATGGCAGCCCATCCCAAATGGAAAGGATCTTGGTGACTTTCCTTGCATATCCACCGGCTAGTTGGCTTCTTCCACCCTGGCTATCTGGGGCCACTGAGCTCTGCTGGCTCTATCCATCTCCACTGCGGCCCACTAGAGAATAGGAAGCCTTTCTTAGCAGGAATATGATTCAAAGCCTATGTATTTTATTTCTTCTTTGGCTTCACTGAGAGGTGAGCAGACCTTGTTAATAGGTCTGGATTCAAGTCAAAATCCTCTAACAGACATTTCATTCATCCCTCGTCACCTGGAAAAGTCACACCATACCATCTACATTAGAATCTTCCCCATTTCTAAATATCTGCAAAAGAAGTAATTCTTAATGGCCTCGTCAAGATTAGCCGATCTGACTGCCAACCTGTGGGAGAGATGGGAGAAATTACAGAAGCAACCTAAAGGACGCTTATCTATAAATGCCTGTTGGAAAAACAAAAATAAACTCTCCAAAGAAAAAGAAATAACTAAGCAATGCAATCATCTCATTACCAAACCCCATTGTCTCTCCTAAATGTCAGTTTGAAATCTTTCATGTCAAACTCAGAAAAACATTTTTTTTTTCTCACTTTCTCCCTCTCTTTCTCTGCTTTATCACGCTAGATGGAGGAAAACTTTATTTGCTCCAGGAAGACAATGGCCTTATCTTCAACCTGGATCCTCAGCCCTAAAAAGGTGGCCTCCCCTGGGAGCATTTTCATAGTGGGGAAAAGCAGTTCGGGAGAAATAATGAGCAAGCCAAGGGAGTCTTGACTTGACACTGTGATAAATGAGGTGAAACTTTGGCAAGAAACCAGTGTTGGCGTATTCAAAAAAGAAATAAAAAGCTAGTTCCATTTTAATGGGAAATATAAAACAGCCATTGTGCAAAAGTCGATTTTTCAAAAGCCAGAGAGATAAAGACTCTAACAGAATGACTGAGACACAAGTAAGATAATGTGGTTGATAATCAGGCTTAGGTAAAGTGCCATCCTCCAAGCCATCAGCTGGCTCCGTAGGAGTGCCTTTTCAAGTCAGCTATCTGCATTTGCTCCCGCCTCATTATCATATGCATCTCTGGACAGCTTCCTTGCAGCTTCAACTTGCCGACTTGCCATACTCCCGCCAGCTGGAGAGAGCAAAGTCAACCTGACTTTCTTCAAATCCCAAACTTCCACGGACGTACCAGCCACAGAGCTACCGGGATCTCCCCACAAGGCCCCAGAGAGCAAAGAGCTTGCGTCCAGCTAACCTTACACATACCTGTTTTTTCCCCAATGACCAGTCTAGTGTAAGGTTTACAACCATAGGCAAGATCCATAAACTTTTACAAGGTTATCCTTGGGAAATTCCTAATGGGCAGGCTGGATACTCAATGGGGATGGTGGGACACATTTTCCCAAGGGTAAGTGTGGGAGTATCCGAGGCCATGTAAGGCACCAGTTGAAGCAGTTGAGTGCTGCAGTTGAACTAGTGAGATTTAGGGGTTACATGGAGACAAACTGCCATAGTTCATATCCTGCCCTTTAGTAGCTATGTGACCTTGGCCGAGTTACTCAATCTCTGTCAGCCTCAGGTTTCTCAACTCAGAGTGAACAATACACCTCCTAGATTTTTATGAAAATGAAGTTAGATGGTGCATGTGAAGTGCTTAGCACAGGGCATGGTACATAGTAAAGGCTCAATAAATGTTATCTGTTAAAATGACTCTGTAGATACTGCTTGGGAGTAGTTTGATGCCATGATCAAAAGGAAAATGATGAGTTTTCTTTGATTTCATTCAACTTGATGACAAATGAAGTCCCATCAAGAAATATTATTCACAGGATAAGCCAACCAGGCACTCAAGTGTATAGTGTAATCTGACCCCGGGCAGACCCCATGTAAGACCCTGTAGATGTCCTAGGTCCCAGTCCTCTTCCTGCTGTTCAAAGATGAGAAAACCAAGACTCGATAATACAGTTGGCTTATCCAAGGTCAAGGGAGTAGAAGGCTGGGACTTGGCTTCTTCTCTTCACTTCCAATCAGGTGCTCATGACCCTGCTAAATGTCAACACCACCTTGCCTGGTCATAACATCCCCCAAGTGAAAAGATGCAAAGCCTGAGCCCTCCTTTCCACTTCCCTCACTGTGCAGAACTGGAGAGACACATGATTCTTCCTGCAGGAGTTTGAATTCTTTGGGGAAAAGGTGTCCAACTAAATAAAATGCTGACCTATTTAAGTAGAATGATTAGGATTTCTTCTTCTGTCCTGTTACCACCATGCAGACTGGACCCCTGACCAGTATGACTACAGCTACGAGGATTATAATCCGGAAGAGAATACCAGTAGCACACTTACCCAGCCTGAGAATCCTGACTGGTACTACACTGAGGACCAAGCCGGTAGGTACCAAATCTCTTTCAGGGACTCTCCTGGGAGAAGGACAGAGGGGAGTGTACATGGAACCACATGCAAGAGCCTCTCTCTCCTCCTCTCTGACCAGCATTGTAAAATAGCTATGGAAGAAATTATGTGGACTGGCTTTTTTTTTCTGTTAGATTCATATGCTGTGAGGACTGGGGAGGTTCTTAGAGATCATCTCCCCTACCCTCAAATGGTAGATGATGTAAGTGAGGCTAAGAGAGGAGCTGACTTGGCCAAGGTCATGCAGCAAGTTAATGCAGCATTGTCCGGGTTTCCTGATGCTGTGAATAGCAGCTGTGTTCAAAATCATTCCCATAGCTTAGATTACAGGTCAGACCCTAAGGGTGCAGGAAGTCCATGTCAGCCTTGAGCACCAGACTGTAGCATGTACACATTCAGCTTTGGGACTTTCCTTCCCTCCTGCCTTTGCCAGGACTTTTCCTTCCCCTTCAACTTTTTCTTTCTCCCTTCACTCTTTAGAAGCTTTCCACAGTTGTTAGATGGTGTGTGTGTGTGCATGTGTGTGTGTGTATTTACACACACGTGCTCCTACCACACTTGTTTTTATTTTCGTGGCTTCTTAACCCCAGCAATGGGACAGAAAAGAAAATAAGGAGCTGGGTCCAAGCAATGCCATGTGACTAAACGAGGAGAAGGAATGGAAAGCACTTAGCAGCTGGAATAAAAGCTGTGTAACTGTGCAAAGTGGCCTGGAAGGCAGGGCCAAGATACAGGGCATGGGGGAACATCAGAAGGGACCATCAAAACAAGAGCAGGGCCCAGGGATCCTAGTTCCTGAACCAAAGAACAATGTGTGTGAACAGAAGGATAAAGAATTCCCCAAGGGAAGATCCATTCAGACAACCATGAAAGCCACAGGCACAGATGAAATATGACAAAATCTAACTGAACAAGTAGTTGAAGAAAGATGAAGGCCACTGGGTCATTTCCTCCTCGCCGCCAATTCTTCTGTCACCCTCTTGCCTTTGGTCTTCTCTCCTGATGTTCAGAAAGCTTGCGTTTCATTAGGGGTGGGTTTTCTTTCCCCACTCCTGACCTCCACCCCTGGGCACTGGAAGTAGGGGAGGTCTTCAGGCTTGTGAAATACCTTCAGCATCAGAGACAGACCCTGTGGCACTCCCAGCAAGACTGGGAGGAGAAAAACACTGATGAGGGAAAAGGGGAGTTTCTCAATGAGAAAGGCCCCGTCCAAAGCCAGGCCGAGGGGAGACAGTCGTGGTTCCTTCTCGCCTCTCTTCTCACTAACCTGAATCCCTTTCTCTGGTCAGGTGACTGCAATTTTCCTTGCTGTTTAAGGACAATGTATGTTTTCTTGCTTTCCCCAGTTTCTGGTTTGGTAGTTACTCTCTCATTTGGGGCAGGAGACTGAAATTAGATGAAAAAGTGGGGGGCTTCTCACCTGCCATTCCTTACCGACATTGCCTTCTTGTCATGTGTCTTAGATCCGTGCCAGCCCAACCCCTGTGAACACGGTGGGGACTGCCTTGTTCACGGGAGGACCTTCACGTGCAGCTGCCTGGCCCCTTTCTCTGGGAATAAGTGTCAGAAAGGTGGGTGCATCATCACTAGATCCACTCTTTCCTCTGAGTTAAACAAGAAGTGGTCCTTTCTGTGTGAGAAAGCACTGTGTGATGCCATGGAAAGGATTATAACTGCAAATACTGTATCATGCATAGTGGATTCCTCTGCAGGGTCCCAGGCGGCCTCTCACTGGATCCTCACCCCTGCACTGTGAGATGGATCTAGTACATCCATTCTCCAGATGGGAAGATTGAGGGTGAGAGGGCATAAGAGCTGGACTCTAACCAAGATGTATTCCAAACTCAGGACTTTGTGCTTAGAGTGTTTCGTCTAACTGCAACAGAGCACTGTTGTCCTCAAATGGGAGAGCAGGGAGGATCTCAGGGCACATGAGACCCAACCCAGTCAGAGAAAGGAAACCCAGAGAGTGAGGGCATTTGATCAAGGTCACACAGCTAGCTAAGTGTAGAGCAGAAATTAGAGCCCTCGTGCCTGACTTCTGGACCATGCTCTTTCATTCTGCCATCCTCACTGTATCTGCTGTTAGTGAATTCTGTGGGCATAACATGAGGCCATGGAATAAAGCTTCAAGAATAGGACTCCTAGGGGCTAATTGTACCCCTAGAGAAAATCTGGATTCAGGCTGCTCTAGCAACCATCTTACTTGGTGGAGGGCAAAGGGGGTCTTAGGTGTACGTATGGCTTTGTGGTTGACTTCTTCCCTTGGTGCCCTCTTCACTTATTCTTTTCACTTTCAATCCTGTAATTTCTTCAATAAATTTTTCAGGATGGTTGAGAATATCGAGTATAAACACAGTGTCTGGGCTTACTCAACTTCTCAGAAAAGTAACAAAACTGTAAAAGGACTCTGAAGTTAGCTAGAAAATGGAGAGACTAAAATTGCAGCTCTGTTTGTTGAAGGTGTAACAATTGTCAAAGTTTTTATTAAGATAGAAAAGTTAAGACTATGGGCACGGGAAACAACGTGGGAGACAATCCGCCATGACCCCAAAATTAGACAGAAGCCTTGTCCTGGCGTACCCTAGTGTTTCAGGACCACGGACAAGGCTACAAACCCTGTCAGTCACCCCATCCCCAAACATTGTATTGTATATGTATCCCTCTAAGGAAAATGTGCCCCAAAGAGTGTCTTATGTTTTGCCCCCACTTCTCTATGGATCTCCTACAGTGCAAAACACGTGCAAGGACAACCCATGTGGCCGGGGCCAATGTCTCATTACCCAGAGTCCTCCCTACTACCGCTGTGTCTGCAAACACCCTTACACAGGCCCCAGCTGCTCCCAAGGTAAGTGGTGGAGGCCCCTTCGACGCTAGGCTTTCTGTGCCCTATTTTTTACCTGAACCCTTCTGCATGGAAGGCCAGATGCACCTCATGTTTTTGTGGCAGGCATCCAAGATGGTCCTTTTCCCTAGGATTTCTAAAGATAAATTATCCCTGGATTGACTCAATTCAGTGGGAGTTGACTGGTCTGTGTCCCTTCGCATCCAAAAAGAATCATCTTGAAACTCACTTCTTCCACGAAGTAGACCCTGATCTATTCCTGAGGGGGACCAAGTAGGGGAATGAATACATATCGAGTCCCTGCTATGAGGCAGGCATTGTCTCAGGAAACATACGCTGTCTTTTGCATTCTCCAAAAACACCTCAAGGAAGGGTTTTACAGATGAAGAGCTTGAAATGTAGACAGGTGAACTCATTTGCTCATGGCCACATGGGTATCAGCAGGCAGAGCTCTACCTAGCTCTACCTAGCTCTACCTAGCTCAGATGGGGCCCAGTACTCCTGCTCCGACCATGCTTCTTCGTTTTCTTACTGAGTAACCCATCTACTTAAGTGCACTTAGTCTTGGCCTCCAGCCATATTGCTTCATCCACGTTAGCTCATGTTCTTAAGGCTTCTGTGTACACTTACTAGAGTATCAGTGGATCTGTCTTTCCCCTCTGGTGACCCACCTTTCGTGAAAGGATGGACACCAGTAGAATGCCACCAATGTCTCCTTGTCATCTCAGACGTGGGCTGCAACTCCTTCTGAAGAGCATTCCTGGCCCCATTCCTTTGTTCACAGTGGTTCCTGTGTGCAGGCCAAACCCCTGCCAGAATAGTGGTACCTGCTCCCGGCATAAGCGGAGATCCAAGTTCACCTGTGCCTGTCCTGACCAGTTCAAGGGGAAATTCTGTGAAATAGGTATGGGTCTCTGCCACCACCTCATCAGGGCCACAAGTGAGGCCTCTGGAACCCTTTTCTCTCTGGGTTTTGTTGCCAGAATGTGGTTCAAATCAAGTTTCCCAAACTCTACTATTGCCTCAGCCTTCTCGCCTAAGGGGATAGGGTGTGTCTGGCTTCTTGTAAAGAAACTAATAAACTGGGGCGTAGTGCAGGCAAGTCAAACCACCTGGGCATCCCTAGGCCTTAGCCCACCTTCCATCAGTTCTTGTGTGAGCCAGAATTAAAGAACTAAGCTCCCACACCCTACAACCACTATATTTCATATTTTAAGCAGGATTAAATGTGGGACATTCAACACTTTTTTTTTTCTGAAATTTGTGGTGAAATCCCAGGGCGATAAATATGCAGGTCCAGTTCTCTCACCACTTGACATACCCACCAAGCCCTTTTTGGGAGCAGCACGCCAGTGGCTGTTGGTTCTCACATTGCTACCTGCTCTCTCGGAGGTTCTGATGACTGCTATGTTGGCGATGGCTACTCTTACCGAGGGAAAATGAATAGGACAGTCAACCAGCATGCGTGCCTTTACTGGAACTCCCACCTCCTCTTGCAGGAGAGTTACAACATGTTTATGGAGGATGCTGAAACCCATGGGATTGGGGAGCACAATTTCTGCAGGTAACAGTTACCTTATTCATGCTCAGTTGATTTTGGTCACTTATTTTAAAACAGATCACTGAAACTCATCAGCCTCCTTTCTAGGAAGATTTTCTTACTCAGGATAGACGATGTTATGCTGCCATAGTAAACAACTGCCAAATCTCCGTGGCTCAAATATATCAAAGTCTATTTCCGGGTCGGTCACTGTGGTTCATGCCTGTAATCATAGCACAGGCATATGACTTGGAGGCTGAGGCAGGCAGATTGCTTGAGCCCAAGAGTTCGAGACCAGCCTGGACAAAATGGCAAAGCCCCGTCTCTACCAAAAAAAAAATAGCTGAATGTGGTGGTCAGCACCTGCAGCCCCAGCTAATCAGGAGGCTGACATGGGAGGATCATCTGAACCCAGGAGGTTGAGGCTGCAGTGAACCACAGCACTCCAGCCTGGGTGACAAAGTGAGACCCTGTCTCAAAAAAAAAAAAAAAAGAAAAGAAAAGAAAAAAAGTCTATTTCTTACTAATGTTCCAAGTATCATGTGGGTTGGTAGTGGTGATGGTAGGGGATTCAGCTCCACAGGGTTACTCAAATACTCCGGATTGGCAAGAAGAGACTGGGTTTTTCACTACTTCAGCCTAGAAGGGACACATCCTCTCCCCACACATACTTTGTTGGTCAGAAATAATCACATGAGCCCACATAACTTCCAGGCAGAGACGGAGAAGAGCAAGTGGAATGTCTGTCGAAGGTGATGGTCTCTAACCCAAAGATGTTCAGGCTTTCCCATGTGAGGGTAATGCCACCACTCTCCCTGGTGGTGATCTAGTTTCCTTCTTCCTTTTCTGCTGCCTTCAGGCCACTCCATTGCCTTCCTGCCACTACCCTTTGTCTAGCCAAGGCCAATGAGTCAGATGAGTTACAGATTAAGGGGAGGAGGTCTTTGTGTGGTTTTGAACTGGCTTCATAAATAAGGATTTTTTTTTCTTTTTTCTTTACTTTTTTTTTTTCTTTTGAGACGGAGTCTCACTCTGTCACCCAGGCTAGAGTGTAGTGGCACCATCTCAGCTCACTGCAACCTTTGCCTCCCAGGTTCAAGCGATCTCCAGCCTCAGCCTCCCAAGCAGCTGGGATTACAGGCACACACCACCAGACCTGGCTAATTTTTGTATTTTTAGTAGAGATGGGGTTCACCATCTTGGCCAGCCTGGTCTTGAACTCCTGACCTCATGATCCACCTGCCTTGGCCTCCCAAAGTGCTAGGATTACAAGCATGAGCCACCGCACTTGGCCATGAAGTTTTGTTTTTTTGTTTTTTTTTCCCCACAAAACACTAGTACCTTCCACTTTATCTCACCTTGAGCTGTTCCTTTTGTGTAGCTGTCTTTGGGGGTGGCGGGGAGGGGGATCTCTTGGCAGCCTTTCTCAGAGGATTCCCATACACAGAATTCAAAGGCTCAGGCAGAGGAACCCAACTCTCACCATGTTTATGTGATGATTTTACTCTCCTGACGTGGAAAGGTCTTCAACAGGGATCTCATTTCTTTTCCTACGAATAATTTGATATGTCCTGTGGATCTGGCATGAGACTTGGGACTGCTTCCTCGTCCTTGAGATTTTCCTCTGGAAGTCAAGGTTTTGCCAAAAAACTATAAACACCCTTCTGTGCTAAGGTTTTATAACCTGTTGGAGGAATCAAAGAAATGTGGTCCCGGGGGAGCACAAAAGCCTGGCACCTTCTTATGCAAAGGTTCTTTAATAAGATCCAGTGGGTTCACCAAGCCTTGACTCTGAGTTGTTTTGTGTTGTATTTTAGAAACCCAGACGCGGACGAAAAGCCCTGGTGCTTTATTAAAGTTAGCAATGACAAGGTGAAATGGGAATACTGTGATGTCTCAGCCTGCGCAGCCCAAGGTAAAGGTCATGGCTGTTCAGACGCCCAGGGGGTGGGAGGATGGAGATTTGTAGGGAGATGTCCCGGGCATCTGGTCCCTCCCTCACCCCATTCTTCCTCCACACTTGCTTTACCAATTCACAGCCCACTGCCAGCCCAACTGCCCAACCGTCTGCACCCACCAGGATGCCAAGCAGGTCTGGATACCTTTGTGGGTTCAGGTCAGGTAGTCCAACCCTAAACTCATGGTTTCTGACTCCAAATCAGTGCCCTCAACAGATATTTACCCATCTCTTGCTGTTTGCCAGCCACTGTGCTGGGCCCTGGGTGTACAATGGTGATCAAACTGGCTGGGCCCCCAAGGCCTCTCAGGATACAAAGCATCCAAATTCCAGCCTCACAGTCTTCCTGGCCATCTGCCCTGGCCTCGCTCTGTGCCCACATCTGGAACAATGTGCCCTTTCACCCTGACCAGTGGGATTCCCTCCCTGAGCAGTTTCACATATGCGCCTCTGATCTTATGGTTGCTTCTGTCTATAACGCTCCATCCCATATCTGTTCTTGTGCATATACAACTATTCTTTGAGAACCAACTCAAATATCCCCTTCTCCAGGAAGTCCTCCTTGATTTCTCAAGTAAAATGTTATCTCTGCCTCCTTACAAATCCCAAGGAACCGAACGAGGCACCACCGATACAACATTTACTTCTCTCTCCTTTTGTATCACAGTCATCTGTGCAAATGTTTTATCTCACCTATTCTAGTTCATCTGAATACCCTCCCCTCTACCCTGAAAAAGCCTCCACACTTGTAATTGTGCACTAATAATGAAAGGCACAGTGATCATGCACACTTATAATGGTGGGGCCTTTGTCAATGTAAATACCCAGTGATGGATTTGTATATTTCCATAAACATAATGTATGTGTGTACATGTCAATCTTAGGAGTCACATACTTTGAAATGGAAGAAAAAAAATCTGCATTGTTAATTCTACAGACTTGCTTTATGTTACGCAATGTATTCTACAAATATCAACTGTGCACCTACTGTATGCCCACCCTGTGTGCACCGGTGCAGTCTCTCAGCTCTGGACCCCTGCTCAGCTGCTGGGCTCAGAGTCATACCTCTGCCTGAGCCCTGCTGAGGAACTGGAGGGAGGCTGAATGGCACAATTTGTCTTTCTTGTGTCCCACAGACATTGCCTACCCAGAGGAAATCCCCACTGAGCCATCAACCAAGCTTCTGGGGTTTGACTCCTGCGGAAAGACTGAGATAGCAGAGAGGAAGATCAAGAAAATCTATGGAGGCTTTAAGAGCACGGCGGGCAAACACCCATGGCAGGCGTCCCTCCAGTCCTCGCTGCCTCTGACCGTGTCCATGCCCCAGGGCCACTTCTGTGGAGGGGCGCTGATCCACCCCTGCTGGGTGCTCACTGCTGCCCACTGCACCGAGTAGGTGCTGGCTGGGACAGGGACCAGGGTGGCTTGAGTGCCTGGGGGTGCTCTTCCCTTCCCCTCTGAGCAGCGTCTTGGTAGCTCTGGCAGGATTAGGGGTTCTGATCTGTTCAAGGGCAAAAGAATGGCTCCTGAAAGTCAGAGGGAAAATAGCTACCATATCTGGAATGTTTACCGTGGGCACAGCATTTATTAAATGACATTTAATCCTCAAAGCTGTCTGCTGGAGGACAAGCTGAGGAAGGTCAGGGATTTTTATCTGTTTTATTAATTGTGAGATCTCCAGTGTCTTGAGTGTGCCTTTGTACATAGCAAGTGCTGAGGAAATATTTGTGAAGGAAAAGATTGTTATTCCCTTTTTGTAAGTGAGGATCTTGAACCTTGGGATTCTGCCTTTACCTTGCCTAAAGTCGTATGGAAAGTTAAGTGGACAAGTAAGATGGAAATCCCATTCTATCTACTTCTTTGACTTCTTTTGTCCTGCCCTGAACAGAGGAAAGCATGCTCCTCTGTCTGATGCCATCACCAATGACCCTTCTGAGTCAGGTGTCTTCATCCATGCCTCTTGTGTGCCTTAGAGAGGCAAGTAACTTCTGGGGAGCTGAAGAGTCACCCCCTTCTGAGCTCCCTATGCTCATGGTCAAGGCTGGTCCAACAAAGCCTGGGTTTTGGAGGTGGTCACGAAGGTCTTCCAGTTCACCTTGTAGTAAATGATTTCTCTGAGCTTCTAGGAGGTGCTCCCCAAGAGAGGTCAAGCAGGCAGACATTAGCACCTGCCAATGGATTTTACAAGACTGGTTCAAGATGGCAATGGCTGTTTCTCTGGAAGGCCTAGGGACAATGGGAGGTCTCCCATGAGAAGTGAGTAAAAGTTATAGCTTACATTTGGAGCTTGCTTCTGTTAATAAAGCACTTCCCTTACATAATCTTATTTGGATCCCACCACAGCAGAGTCCTGTGAGTGAGACAAGGGTTACAGATGAGGAGGTTGAGTCTGCAGAAGGTCAGATTTGCCAAAGGCCACACAGCTGAGCGGAAGCAGAGCCTTCCTGACTATCTCATTTTCCCTTGCAGCATAAAAACGAGACATCTAAAGGTAGTGCTAGGGGACCAGGACCTGAAGAAAGAAGAATTTCACGAGCAGATCTTTAGAGTGGAGAAGATATTCAAGTACACCCACTACAATGAAAGAGATGAGATTCCCCACAATGATATTGGCAAGTTCCTCTTTCATGGCTCTCCTGAGGGTCTTGTCCTGGGTGGATTTCTCTATGAACGGAAAGCTGAAGTTTGGTTCTAGAAGGTGCTCTTGATTGTTTTTGGTCCCTGTGGACCCTGTGAAGTTGGGAACGTGTTCCAGAGCTTTTTAGTTTTTGAGGGTATGTGTAAATGTGGATAAATGCGCATATGCTCTTAAACCGAGGGCAAGCTATACTAGAAACATTGTGCTATGGAATGGGCTTGGCCTGGAATCCCGGCTTCCCAACTTTCTCACCAGGAGCCAGCTCACCTCCCTGAGCCCTCTTTTCTCTTCTATGAAATGGAAACACTGATGCGCAACTCTTAGCTTCTTATGTGTCAGGTGACACAATGTGCATGCAGGCATGCCTGGTCCCTAGCCCCTGGCGGGTGCTCCAGTGCAAATGCAATGACATTCCTAGCTACTGGCTGCTCAGTTCTATACCCCATTCCCCTTATCGTGAGGATTCCCCCCACCTCTCTCTCCTTCCTCAGTAGCCTTTTTGTCCCTCTAACGGCGTGTTTCTTAAAAAATGGATTAAACGTGATTTCAAAGTCAATTATTATTTCTTGACATGACTCTCGCCCTGAAGTGCTACTCCTTCCCAGGTGGAAGTTCAAAATATGAAATGACCGTGGAAGAAGCTTTTCAGGCATGGCAGGGGCGGTTGGGGCTTTGCTGTGGCCACCTTGAAGCTGGTGCTTCTTTGACAAAGAGGTGACATCACACCCATTTTCTACCTCTCTCTCCACCTAGCATTGCTCAAGTTAAAGCCGGTGGATGGTCACTGTGCTCTGGAATCCAAATATGTGAAGACCGTGTGCTTGCCTGATGGGTCCTTTCCCTCTGGGAGTGAGTGCCACATCTCTGGCTGGGGTGTTACAGAAACAGGTGAGTTGGCCATGCACTCTCCCATGACTTAGGTGAACTACATCAACCAGAGAAGAAAGGCCCAACTCAACTGCCCTTTTGAAGTTGAAATGAGTGTCATATTCAAGATGCATCAACCAAAGAAATCATCTGCCTCATTGATCAAGATCTGGTTAAATTCCTCCACCTGCAGGGAGCCTTCCCTGATTTTCTCTGATTTCCGTATCTATCCCTGGCCCCTACCCCTAAATACTTGAATTTTACCAAGCATTGACCCTGCATCTATGAAGACCTTTCTCCCTCCCTAGGTAGATTGGAAAGAGGAAAGATCATGGATTTTTGAGTCAGACAGACTAGCATTCAGTTCTTGACTTTGTCATTTGAACAACTGAGTTTTAGTTTCTTAATAATCATACTTACATCCTAGGTTTGCAAGCATGATCACAGGGGATGACAGAATTCTAAAGAGACATTCATTAAGTCAGCCCCTGGAAGATGGGGTCAGGCCCCATTCATCTCTGTCTGTCTCACAGTACTTTGGTTGGGGTTCTCCACACAGTAGACATTCTATAAAATTGTGTTAAATCCAGCTGTTGATTTGTCTTTAGGATCTGGTCTCTTTTTAAAAAGTAACCAAGGATTACTTTCCTCATAGTACTGGCAAGATTATACCCTCTACTAAAAAAAAAATCAGAAGAGTATTTCATGTCTTTCCCGAATACTCAGAATATATTACTCTTCCTTCCCAAATCTTGTCCATAATAGTGAATAGCGAGAATTACTTTAAATAAGTCTGCAGAAATTCCACACATCTGAGCAAGGTGAAATGTAATATATAACTTTGAGTCTTTTGAGAAAGATGTCTGGCTAATTGGATTTAGGGTCAGCCAGTAAACTCATTTTACAGCCATTTTCATTGTAGTCCATCTGCACTTGTCAACCTCTATTCTGCTCAATATGGTCTGGTCAGCATGGTGATGTCTCAGATGGGAATCTTTTGGAGGCTTAGATTAGAATTATTTTGCTTTTCATGAACAGGCCTCTAAGATTTTATGTTCAAAACCAATGAAATGTTTTGATTTATTTCATTTTCTTTACAGGGGAAAATGCCTGCTCTAGGAAGCAGGTAGCCTACTGCACAGGGCACTTCACCCATCCATCCATCCATCCATCCATCCATCCATCCATCCATCCATCCACTAAGAACTGTGCCAGTCCTTTGGTTAGGCCTTGGGGATTTTAAAATGGTTAGGACAGTATCTATTTCCTCCTGAACCTCACGGCCTAGTTGGGGAAAGAGAGGAGGGAATATACTATCTGGTCCATCAGTCATGACCAGCACAGGATTGTAGGTCTGCACTGGCATGTTGAAGGCTAAACATGAGGCTTTTCTGCTCATCTCCTGGAAAAATTCTTCCTTTCTGAGCTGAGAGTTGGTGGGCTTCTCCATGACAGTCTGGTTTCTGCTGGGGTTGGTGCCACCCTGGTCCCCACAGTAGTACTCTTTTCTCTGCTCCTTCCCCACAGGAAAAGGGTCCCGCCAGCTCCTGGATGCCAAAGTCAAGCTGATCTCCAACACTTTGTGCAACTCCCGGCAACTCTATGATCACATGATTGATGACAGTATGATCTGTGCGGGAAACCTTCAGAAACCTGGGCAAGACACCTGCCAGGTCAGAGACTCCAAGTGGTGCTTGTAGAAGGAGAGACTGGCAGGATGTTTCACTAGGCGGAGGCCCCTTAGAGCCCTGGGCTGGGAGCTGGGTTCAGAGGTTCACCTGTGGTAAAGCTAAGACACAGATGAGCTGTGTCTGCCCCCTGGTCCCCTGGTACATCCTCATCCACATCAACTCAGGATGACTCAGCATAATGACCACAGAGGTCACGTTGCCTGCATTGTCTAATTTAACTCTCACAACACACTGGTGAAGGTGGTATCATGATCACCATTTTACACATGCTTAGAGAAGTTATCTTGGCCTATAGCAATTGGGTGGCCAGTGGCAGGGCTGGGATTTGAACAATACAGTCTGCAGGACATCAAAGGGGTTTGTGGCCTCAGTGTTGGGCAGCATTTCTGAGAATCCCAGTAAACAGGGAACTGTCCAGAAGACCAGTGGCTAGAAGGAGAAAGAAGAAGGCCTAAAGCTAGAGATTTTACAGTACTATTAACTCATCATGAGGACTCATGTGTGTGTCTATGTGTGTGTGTGTGTGTGTGTGTGTGTGTGTGTCTTAGCCCTAGAAAACGAAGTATATCTGTAGCCTAGGGCCTTTTGGAACCCCAAGTTGCTGAGGCTTGTGACTCAAAGACACTGTTGCAGAGGGAGAAGGTGGTAGCTCCATTAACCAATGCTAAAGTGACTTTGGGCCCTGCCCCAAGTCGAAGCCCATTCCTGATAGTCCCTTTCTCTTTAGGGATCACATCACACAGGGTCCTTTCTAGAATCCCAGGAACAGCTCCATTTAGAATTTTCTGACTGTTGTCCCCATAAACCTTCTAAGTGTCCTGAAAAACAGCATGCCAACATTCAATTCCCAACTCCTTGAGGGAGCCTCCCTGTACAAAGGAACCCACAATGATTTGTTGGCCTTGAACTCACTTTGGGATGGAACATCTAGGCTCCTCTCTCCAGAGTTTGTGGCTCTCCTGTGACTCTCTGTCTCTTCCCAATGAGCCAAGGATGTTCACATACTCAGAGGAGGGGCAGATGGGTGCAATTTGCCCTAAACTCCTTCCCAGAAGATAGTTAAGAAAAGAGCTCACTCAGGCTGGGCGTGGTAGCTCAAGCTGTAATCCCAGCACTTTGGGAGGCTGAGGCGGGCAGATCACCTGAGGTCAGAAGTTCAAGATCAGCCTAGCCAACATAGTGAACCCCGTCTCTACTGAAAGAAAATACAAAAATTAGGTGAATATGGTGGCACATGCCTGTAGTCCCAGTTACTGGGGCTGAGACAGAAGAATCACTTGGACCCAGGAAACGGAGGTTGCAGTGAGTCAAGAGGGTGCCACTGCACTCCAGCCTGGGCGACAAAACGAGACCCTGTCTCAAAAAAACAAACAAACAAAAAACCCTCGTTCAATTCCCTAGCTAATTGAAGGACTTCACTTACAGGCTTTGGAAACAAATAGTTATGGATTTGAAACCTGTTTCTGTCTCTTACTTTATGACTTTTATCAGTGATGAAAGCAATTCTTCAATCTCAGATGCCTAAGCTATAAAATGGAACAAATCTATCCATAAGATCACAAGGTCGTGGCTAAGTTTAAAAGAGAGAATTCATTTTTTAAAAAACCTGTCAGTTGTAGTGCCTAAGCAGTATTGTTTTCGAGAGCTATCATCTTCAATGTCTTCTTCTCCTCACCATCATCATCCTCGCCACCTTCCATGAACCATGGTTAATATGAACCAGGCACTGTTCTATATACTTTACAAATAATTAATCTTCACAAGAACCCTGGGGGATGGGGATCTATTGCTATCTATGGTTTACAGTGTGAGAAACTGAGGCCCAAGGTCACATGCCTGGCAGGTGGTAGGGCCTGGTTTGAAACCCAGGAGATCTAACCCCATAGACCATGCTGAGCACCTAGGCCATGCTGCCTTGGAGTCCCCATCCTCCTCCCCTGTGTGTGCTGAGGGCCCCCAAGAACTCAGTCATAACATCTGCATCACTAAGAGTCGGGAAGTGCAGCCCTGCAGCTCCTCTGTCAAGCCCGCGTGGACTCAGGGATGGAGGGCACTGTTATCTTCTCTCCCTTAGAGTCTTGTATCATGTGAGATGTGGCAAGAGCCTTGTCACCGCTTTCCCGAGAAGCCCACGGAGGCTGGCAAGGGACTCCACCCCATCCCTTCCTGACACCCCCTGGAGAGAGGTGGGGGCTTCTCCAAATGTCTCTGATTCACGAGGATGAGCTTATGCCTCTGTTTCCCTTAGGGTGACTCTGGAGGCCCCCTGACTTGTGAGAAGGATGGCACCTACTACGTCTATGGGATAGTGAGCTGGGGCCTGGGGTGTGGGACGAGGCCAGGGGTCTACACCCAAGTTACCAAATTCCTGAATTGGATCAAAGCCACCATCAAAAGTGAAAGTGACTTCTAAGGTACTGTCTTCTGGACCTCAGAGCCCACTCTCCTTGGCACCCTGACACCAGGAGGCCTCACGGCCAACAATGGACACCCCCAGAACCTCCAGGGGACCACGCAGTGGACTGTCCCTACTCTAAGCAGAGACAGCTGCCACCCAGCCTGGGCCTTCCCAGACCAACATTTGCACAATGTCACCAGGCTTCTGATGGAATCAACACAACATAGTATGTTTGCTTTCCTCAACCAACTGTACCTTCTAGAAAATCAGTGCTCACAGAGACTGCCTCCACCACAGGCATCTGCAAATGCAGACTCCAGAATGCCCAGCATCAACGGGAACCACCGTCACATCTTTATTCCTCAGCCCAGACACTCGAGGTACTCAACAGAATCAGCCATCCACGTCTAGGTATCAGAGAGGACCACAAATACGACATTCTCCATTTGCTTTCAGAGTTATTATTTTAATAAAGGCAGATCTGGGATGGGCTGGTAGACCATTTTTCCAGCTCGCCGAAATCGAAGCCATCTGAAGCATGTCTCTGGTGAGCAAACTTCCTCTCTGGCTTCTCAAGAATAGGGGTGGACACAGCTCACAAAAGCAGGGCCTTCTTCCTCTTGACGTGCAGAATCTCAGTGGCATCTGGGTTCACCTCCCCGCTCTGATGATCTCCAGCCTCCACTGCTTCTGCCCTCCGATGCTGACATCAAACATACCCCAAGTTAAAATAAAGCTCCCCCGCCCCCACCCCCGGCCCCAGTTCCCACAGGGCATGCTAAGAAGCCCCGGGAGCATTTAACAGGCTCACCCTCCCCTTCCTTTTCCCCTCTTCTACCCTCCCCGAGAAAAAGGGCCCTCAAGGCAAGAATGAGAAAGAAGCAAAGCCAATCTCTCATTTAGACCTGGCCTCTTTCTTCTGAACAAAGTAGGGTTCAAAATGCAGACTGTCGTATCCAGCGAGTCCCTGACCCTTTCTGCGAACGTAACGAGCAAGCAGTCAGCACAGCCTGGGCTGCCCTGGCCCGGGATTGATGTAGCCCCGGTAGGTTTGCCTCTGCAGAACTAATGGCTGTGACTTCAGAGAAAGCCCTGCAGGAAGTTTAACCTTCGTGTCATCTGCCTGGTCATCTCAGACCCATGAAATTAGGCGCCTTGTTTGAGCTGCATTTCACACTTCTTTAGAGCTAGCTGACCTTTGGCCAAAAATAAACTTTGAAAAGAGACAATGAGTGTGTCTTTCCCAATGGCCTTGCAAACCAGGGTGGCTGTGCAGCTTGATACTCACGTAAGCTCCCTGGAGACCCAGGCCCCTTGCGTTGGCCAGTTCCGCGGCCCGCCGAGCCATTTCCACTTTGTAGGAGCCAGGAGGGGTCCAGCCAACACCTCTGGTCAGGTTCAAGTCTGATTTGTACTTGACCTTGAGGGTAAGAGGGAAGCAAGAGGAATATGTCAGCAGGGTTTGGAGTGGTTTGACCATCAAGTAAAGACGATTAAAAAGGCAGTCACAATGAGACTATGTTGTCTGTCATCAGTAAAGCCAGAACAAGGGGAAAAAATTTATCATAAGCAGCATCTCCCTGGCACAGGGGCCCCAATGCACTGTGAGTCCAGCCGGCACGTTGCTGTCTCTTGCATCTTCCCATTCAAGTGACAAAAGTTGCAATTGGGAGTGGGTGGGGCAGTGACACCTGCTCCACATACTCTGGGGCCTTAGGGAGGCCACTTCCCTTCTCTGGGCTTCAGTTTCTTCCCAGGGAAAGTGCAAAGGCTGGGTTAATAGCTACTAAGATCCCTTGGAAACAGTTCAGCATAGCCATCAAGAGCTTGGGCCCTCACAGCACACAAAAAGCGCTTGATATCCCAGGTCTGCCACTTATTTGTTATGGGATCTTGAGTAAGTCACTGAACCTCTCTGAGCCTCAGGTTCCTCATCTGTAAAATGAGGCAGTCCTGGGGTTGGCATGAGTGCCAATGGCACGAGGCTTGGCAAGCATTTGACACAGAGCCTGACCCACAGGAGACACTCAAGAAGTGGTAGTTACTGTTGTTATTCTTTCTGGCACTAAAGCGTTAAGTGTCTTGGATTCTCTCTCAGCCCAGCTCCCCCAAAAGCTAACATGGAACGTGGCATTATGGCCACCTCTTAGGAAGAGGCACCAGAGGAAGGGCCTCAGGGGAGTGGGTGGAGGTGGCTCACATCACTCTGCAGCTGGTGGGCCTTCTGAGCGTGCCTGAGGCCCAGCTGCTCCGGGTCGCAGGTGGGCTGGGGCAGGGGCTGCCTGTAGTGCACGTCGCTGGCCAGCTGCTGGCTCCTCTTGGCCTGAAGGAGGCCGGGCTGGTCTGTGCGGCTGTGAAACTGGGACCGACACTTGGCAAAGTCCTTCTTGTACTCATTGTCACTCTGGAGCCTGCCAACGTTGAGGAAATGCTTCATCCTTGGGTCATCGTCGACGCTGCGGTACCCGATCTGCAGGCCTCGGTCCCGCAGGAAAGCCTCTTTGTACCGGAACTGCAAGTCAGAGGAGCAGAGGCAGGTCATGGGTGCCTACCTCCCCCAGGGCCAGCCTCACATATGGGGCCATCCCAGGGCATTCTCAGCAGGGGGCTCAAGAGTGGGTTAAAGGCACAGGCTTTGGATCCAGGTAGACCTATCTGTGTGGCCATGGGCCAGTTACTGAGTGTCTCCGTGAGCCTCAGTTTCCCCATCTGATAAAATTGGAGAATGATCTTCCAACCCGTAGGACGCTGAGAGGATTCAATCAGACAGGGGCTGAGCTTCATGTCTGGCATGAGCTCTGGCCCACTGAGTGGTGGCTACTGGTATTGTCACTGTTATCATTGATACTCCAACAGGAAGAGAACTGTGCCCATTCTCACATAGGCCACTCTGCCTTTGATTCCTTCCAGCTTTCAGGGACCTAGTCCAGTGCTCCTCAAACCATCTACAGTGAAGGCTCAGTCCCAATTTGATTTGCTTTTTACATTTCCAATGCATTAAAGACCCATGTATGGTCCTATTGCATGTGGCTAGTATGTAGTAATACCACTTGTATTTGGTAACACCCAACCTGGCCTTCACCCTGTTCAGGGAGATGAGTCCAGTGATCACACGCTTGGATGCTACAATGTCCTAATTGCTAAAAAAAAATTCAAAAATCACATGCTCTTAATTTCTGTACTTATCAAATTGTGGATCAGCAGGAAACTGTTCCCAAGTGAGACTCCGTCTAGCACTGTGGACACTTGTCTAGTCAATGGTGCCCTCTCTTTCAGAATACCTGCTATGTTCCTGACACCATATATGATTTTGTTTTCATTCCTACATTAATCCAGGAGACAAGATCCCTATTTCATAGATGTAGAAAATTAAGTTCAGAGAATTTGAGCAACTTGCCCAAGACAAACAGCCAATTCCTAAGTGCCAGAGCCAGGATTTGAACTCGTCCATCTAGGGCAAAAGCCCTATCTCTTTCTATTCTGCCATGGAGCTTCAGCTAAAAGAAGTCCTTTTATTGCAAATCAACAACCCAAGCACATATTTATGGACCTCTTGGTACTCATCCATCATCTTTTAAGAGTGCCTCTCTAAAAAGAGAGAGAATGGGAATACAGCCCTCCTTGACCACAATTTCTGCCTAAGATGCTAGAAAGTAAAGCCCGCTTTTTTTTCTTTCATTTAAAATACAATACGTGTTCAGTTTTGGTGCAGAGAGATAATCTTGACAGGTCCTGGTGGTTTGCCTTTCAACAGAACTGGGAAAACCAGAGAAAAACCCATCAGTGACTATGGGAGGGAACATGGGGTCTTACATCACTGGCGATCTCCCTGGATGCCCGGGCAGTCTGGAAGGGGATGGCATCCAGCCTGAAGTCGTAACTGCCAGCCCGGGTCTGCTCCCAGGAGTTTCTGTAGACTTTCTAGATGGAAAAACAAAAGCATGAGTAAGCAGGCAGTCACTCCACTGTCTTCCATGTTGCTGGTACTCAGCAGGAATGGTTCCTAACCTTTGTTGGTTCCCAGGACGGCAGAACCTATAAGCCCATGTCCACCTTGGGGACTCCCTAGCACTGGGATTGGTAAGGTTGGCCGTAAAAGGCTTCAGCTCTAAGCCCCCAACCCGCCCATTAGGCCCTGCTCCTGTGAGGCTTGTGATCTTCGAGTATGGCTCATTTGCAACATCCCCTTGGTATCAGAAACCCCCAACCCACTCCTTCCTGTCTTTGCATTCACTTTCAGTGCTTCAGGTTTGCAGCTTCTTGAATTCTGGAAGCTGAATTCAAGCTTCCAGAATCCAGTTTCTTCCCACATGCTGAAAGTGCTGTTCCTTGGGCCTTGGCACTCATGTGTTCATTAGCTCCACTGACATCCGGAGGGGCCTCAGCCTGGCTTTGATGCCATGCCCTGCACCATCACTATGAGGCATGCTGCATCTCATATACACCCCTGGTGCCTGCACGAAGGGAAGAGCCTTCACCTGAATTAAATTTATTGTCAAGAACCTGACCGAGCACCTGACCCATGTGTTTCATATCTTCCTCTTTCATTTTTTCCCTTTTCAAGTTGTTCTCACACGCCCTCTGGGAGTCTGTAATCATATCCTCTTAGTCCTCAGGTAGACCCACATCACCGATAGAGGCATCAAAATCTTCTGTGCCTTCATGTAGCTAATATTTTTTTTTTTCAAGATAAGGGAATGGCTCTATAAAAGGAGGCATCTGGAGATCCCAGTGGAAGGCTGTTCTTTATTCAGCCACAGAGAAGGGAGACAGCAGGAGAGGCGCATCACCAACAGATGACAAAGTGACAGCCCCAGACCGTGTCGGTTGCTCACACGTTCCACGAGCTACAGCAGGTCAGGGGGCCCTTAAGAACCGTCCTTTTGTCTCCTGGAAATGGAGGTCAAGGCTGGTGCTCTGTTCTACGGGAGATTGGGGGGATTAAGCAAAGGAGGAGTGGCAGATGAAAAGCAAAGTGGCCCACCCCATCCCACAACTGGGCCTGGAACTAGAGAGGACCACAAAGTGCTTGGGCCAAGCATGGCGGATCTCATCATTTCTCTGTACTGCAGATCACACCACCTTCACCTCCATCCTCGCCTCTGACTTCCACACTCGATGCCGTAAACTCTGAGCCAAATATCTACTGTGTTCTAGGCCCTGGAAATGCAGAACCGTTCACTCCTGGGATAATCACCTAACTGAG